AAATAATAAATAGGGAATAAGCTTTGGTTTGGGATACTATGATTGAATAATATCAAAAAAAAATAATTCATTTAAAAAAGAAACTTAACATTGAAAAAACATAAGAAATTCAAAGATAAAATCAATTAGATAAGAAGTAATAATTATATCAAGAATAATGTCTATTGGCAGCAAATTCTTATTAGATTGATTTATTTGAACTAAGAAAAAAAGATCTTAAAAAGTAATTTGAGTTAAAGAAAGCTATTTTAAAAGAATAGATAAATGAAAATAAAAAATCATATGAATAAATAAGTCAAAACTTGTAGCCACTTCCATAAGAATAGCCAAAAGAATGTTCATTTATCACAGGAGCTAGTTCTGATTATACATTAGTACTTGCATTACAGAAAAAAAATTATTAAAAAACCTTTATTTCTTTACAAAGTTTTTACCCAGAATGTTATATATCAAATTCTTAAGATTGTGAAAATATATCTGTAATTGCAATAAAAGATATTAGTTATAAAGCAACTAAAAATTCAATTTAAAATAAATTACTATTAGCAAATGCTGACAATAAGACTATAAACTGTTATATGGTTAGTTATGATAATAATAAACTTTCTAAAGATTTGATTTTTTAATAAGAATTGCAACATAATATTGATTTAATTCATATAACTAAAACTCTTTAAATTATTGTAAAAAATCATCATTTATATAATAGGTAATCAGTAAACTTGGTGGTTTTATTTATTTATTGAATAAAAATTAGAAATAATTAATTTATTAAGGAGGTCATGTAATTGGTGAATCAGTATATTTTGAAAATGTTGATATATTGAGAGTTTCAAATCAATTTAAGATTATCACTATAACAAATTTATTAACAAACCCAGAATATGATCAATTGTTAACAGAATAATATTCAGCATTAATTTATTATCATACAAATTTACCTTGTTTTCATTTGATGTATATCTAACATCCATAAATTATCAATAAAGAATTATTTGTTTATGTGAACAAAAAGAATAAAGTTAGAGTTTATGATTATATCACATAATAAAAGAAAAAGTTTAAAGTACCAACCTAAAACATTTAAATTGAATTTCTTAATTATTTTGATAAGACTAACAAATTAGTATTTTGTGATAGTTATGGATAAACATATAAAGTTGAAAAATTTACAAATCTTATTGGGTGAATATAATATAAATATATTTATAAAATTTTAATGGAATAGGGACTTATTTCTACATCAATATCTACAAGATTGATAGCTCCTTTTAAAGTATTATTAATTTCATTGATCATCTCAATAATTGTATGCTTAGTTGAGGCTATAGTTTTTAGTGTTAAAACATCTGAAATACGTATGAATATTTAATAAATTATAGATCAACATTGTGGTTTAAATTCTGCTTTAGTATTTTAAACAATATCATATTATTTCGTATTAATAGCTCTAATTGTATTTGCTTTTGTCATTAATAGATTGAAAAAAACATATATTTTGATTGCAACAATACCTTCTATAATTTTTAAGCTTATTTCATTTATAATGATGATGACTTAATTAAATAAACTATGGGGTACTTGTTATATTGAAAACTCTTAAATTTCAACCTTCATTTTAAGTGATTTTTTTTGGATTATAATATTGTTATACTATTTTAATGCAATTTCAAAATTATAATCAAAGTTTCCAGATGCCTTTTATCATAGTTTTAAAATTAATTTATTATGGGCTCAATGAATAAATAAATATGTTATATATATATATTAGTATATAATAATTACAAACAAATTCAATCATTAAAATTATATATTCATAAAAAATCAATTTTTAAATTAATCACAATCTTTAATTGCATCTAAAATAACATTTTACATATTTTATTATAAAAAATCTTATTCAATTTCCATTTTATCATTATTTTATATAATTATCTAATATTAATTAATGTTATCTAAATTTATATTTTATTTAAACTATTTAAAATTATTATTGTCATTATTTTATTATGAAGACTTAAATTCAGAGAATTTGTTATTAAAAGAATATCTTTATTTATTATTCAATATTCTATCTTGATTAATCCCATTATAGGCTTATTGCATAAAAGTTCCGTTGTTTTACAAATTGGATTTTATTTAAGATGTTTGCATAAATATTTAATTGTTTTAGAAATTTAAGTTTGTAATGCATTAATTTTAATTTTTTTTGTTATCCTAATTAGAATTGTTGTTTTAATAAATTCCATTGTTTTATGAAACCATTTATTACATAATTATTAAATTTTTGATTAAATAAATAATGAATAAATGTTTATTTAAAAAGATATGATCATTTAGATCTTGCAAATCCAACTCTATCATTATCTCTATCATAAACTGAATAATATTTGCTTAAAAAAGTATCACCTAATATCCAAGCTGGTCCTTGAGGGAATGGAATATCAAGTGGCATGAATGTTCCTACACATTCACAACCTCCACCCATTTCTAAGAAGCTGTCTGTAGATGCAAAAGATCCATAAGCAATCTAATTATTTAATATGTATTTATTTACTTCATTTCCATAGGAATCTATCTTCATTATATAATCATGTGCATCAAGATCATAATGAATTCCATCTAACACAAATGTTAAAGTTGGTAATTCTTTAATATTCTTACAATTTTCATCTATATTAAGAGCATCTAACATATCATATAAATCATTAGATGGTCCTGTTATTAATGATGTACCAGTATCTGCTATAACATTGCAACCTCTTTTACATAATCCAATATCTTTTCCATTAACTAATATGTTATTTGCTTCTAAAAGCCAATAATACTTATTTGCAACATTATGAAAATGTAATTCCCCAACAAAATGATCTTAATTCCATCCACCTAAAGTTAGTTCTGAGGTTCTAGAACCTTCTTATCTTGAAAAGTAAAATGAAAACACATTCCTATCTAACAATTTTTATTGCATGATATTATCAAATAATGGATTAAAATGATATGCAGCCATTGTTGGATATGCTAAACCAACTATACCATCAAAATCAGATAAAGCAAATACATCTCCATTTTCTCTAACTATTTCTGCAAACTCTTATTTTCTAATCATTACATTTCCAACATAAGCAGTATCTGCATTAATCTTTTAATTTATTATATTATTATTTACTTCTCCCATTAATTCACCAGTACCAAATTCAACATCTAAATCATAACCTAAATGTTCATAAGTCAAACTCTTTTAACCATCATATTATTTATGATTTTTACATCCATAATCATTACATCTTGCAGAATTCAACCAAATATTAGCTGATCCAGTATCAAATATAACCTATAATATAATAAATCATATTAATCTACTTTAAATTTGTTTTCTTATGACCCAAAACTAATTTCACCAGTATATTATGTATTTTTAAAATTATATAATTTTATATTCTCCTTCTATGTTGTTTATGTTAATGCAATATCATCTAATATATCACTCTTAGATCTAAAATGTTGTCCTGTTGTTATAAAATCGAAAAATGATTTTCTAGCTTAAGATTAAGTTCTATCCAATTTTATTGAATAAATTTTATTCTGCATTCTTGGTTGCTCTTCTAAAAATGAAGCACAATAGATAGATATGATCAAAATAGAAATTAAATATACTTAGTTCATTTAATATTGAATTAATCCTATTGAAAAACGATAATTTTTACTATAAAGTGAATTAACAGAATCCATTTACAAAATACTCATTAATTAATATTAATTCTCTAAACAAATTATACATTGTATTTTAACATCAATATATTTAACTACTCTTATTTAACAATATAAATCATCTTAGGATAATAGATTAAATATTGAATTTAAATAAAATATATTTTATATAATCAAAAATATAAAAATCAAAAGTCTGATTCCATAAATTAATTAAATAAATATGATTATTTAAATTAAATTGATTAAAAAGAAATTATAATTAATTTAAATTGTATTTTTTAGAATAATATAACTTTTTGAATCATCAAACCTCACATACATTTTATTTTTTATCTTCTCTTGTAGCTTATAAATATATTTAAATGGCTGAACTCATTAACCCTCCTAAAGCAACTAATCCTCTATTAAATCTTGTATTTAACTATTTTATATTAAATTATGATACTAATTTTTCTGGTATTTATGCTTTTTACATAGCACAAGTTAAATCTCCTATAATTCTTAAAATCAATAATCCAAATTAATATCTTTCATTTGTTAAGGCTCTAATTTAAGAAATAAATTCTTAATTAGATATGCCATTTGAAATTTATTACTTCATCTCAGACTCTCTCTTTAGTAATAATATTAATACCTTCTAAAATTAGATCTTAATCTATTTAAATAGAAAACTAATTATGTTAATAATCCAAGAGTCCAAAAAGAATGAGATATGATTTTCAATAATTAATGATTAAATGTTTTCTCAAAAAATCCCATTTAATGTATGACCATAATATTTTCTATTAGATGGAAAAAGAAATAAAATATATAGACAGAATATGTAGACATTTCATTGACTGCATGAGGAATTTGATGAAAATGTTTTTTTGGATTATGAATTTGTGATTTTTGTAAGATATTAAGAATTGTTTATAAACTCTTTCCTAATCTAAGCAATCTTCTAAAAACATAAATTTATTCTATATTAAATATATATCTGCTTACAATAAATTATGAATTTCTATTCAGATTCTAAATTATCTATTCCAAGAAGCATATAGCTTCTTAACAATTCCCAATTTTACAACATTTTTAATATTTTATCTCTATTTTCTCTTGATTATTATAATTTATACCTGCAGTTGATTAAAATGAAACAAATTTAGACAACATTCAATTGATTGAATATATTTTTATAATATAAATTGTAATATCAAATATATAAATAAGTATAGATTGAATGAAATACAAAATGTAATAGTAGATTATAAAAAAGATTCCATATATATAGATTTCAAAAGGTTTCAGTCAATATGATTAAGTTTAATACTTGAATTAAATTAAGAAGTATATTGATCTATTATTTTTTGTGTTTCAATTCTTTATTTATTAAGTCTCTAACAATATTATATTTTAATACTTTCACTTTTTCATTTTCTATATAGTTTTGGTTCTGTCTTCTAATTTCATTTTGTTCTTCTTATTATTCTGTTTTTAAATGTTTATTTTGCATTCTTTTACTTTAACTTAGACTAAAAGCATTATTCATTCTAGTTTTATATTTATTTAATTGCCATTTATCTTTGTTCTATATTATATTTTAAGGTGTTTCTAATAGTTTTTTATTCATTAGATGGCTAGATTTAAAGTTTTTGTTAGGGAGATTTGGAATGAAATATTTTAATTGATAAGGAATGTTTTTGAGTTTTTTAGCTTATTCACTCTCATACTTTGGAGTATATAAATGAAGTTAATTAGAAGTATTCATTTAAGTTACTGTATGTTTATGTAATATTCTTTTTTCAGATTTATGAGCTTTAGTGATTGACAATATTCCTATTAATAATAACGTATAATATTTTACTTGATCTTGATGTTGTAGTGTATATATCTGATTCAAATTAAACACATGATTCTAATTTAGGCAAATGAAGAGTTAATTTCACTTTTCTTTCAGATAACATTATTTATTGATTAAAAGATGATATCAGTGGATAGTTATAAATAATATCAATTAAATATGTTTAATCAAATTGAATGATTTAAATTATATATATAATAGTTCTAATCTACTTTTGATGAAAAAGTGTTTTAATTCATCAAATTAGTTAAAGTAAAGTAGTAATAGTAGTCAATATTCAAAACAGATATGAAACTATATTAATATTTGATAACATTTCTTATTATTAAAAAGTTGTAAATTTGTTAAATTATGTAATACTATTGCTAATTGCATTAAACTATCTTTACTTAAGTTTGTATTCAATAAGATTGTACAAAAAAAGGACCATTATGTAATAAATGTATTGATACTCATAAAAATCATGTTTTATAAAATTTAGAAACATATTTGAATGATTATACAAAATACTTAAATATGGAGTATTAAGCATAAATATTGTAAAAATTAGAATAAATGAAATAATACTTTCATGATAAAATTTCATCATTATAAATAGATGTAAATTTTATAGATGAAAAAAGAAAAAAAGAAATAATAAAATAATTGAAATAAGAATAAATGAGTCCACAATAATATGAATCTAAAATTATTGAATTAATACAAAGAGATTAATTAAAAGACAGAGAATATTTATAATAATTCTTTTAACAAATAAATGATATTGAAAAAGAAATGAAATTCTAATTTTCATAACTACCTAAAAAATTAATATAAGCTTAATATCATCATTAACCTTCTCATCAATCATAATAAATAATTAATAATAAATCTAATCTATCTAGTGAAATTAGAGAATTATCACCTTTATTATCAAATAGATCAAATAAATCTAAAGAACCAATATTTTCATAAAAATAATTAAGTCAATCTCCACTTTCAAAATAGTTGCTTTAAAGAGATTTAATGCCAGTTGGTTCATTTAATAATTCTAAATTAAAAAATTATTTTACTGAATAAAATTCATAAATATCTCCTTAAAATTCATTCAAAATTATTAAACCATTTGATATTGATAAATCATTAAGTAATTAAAGTAGAATTGAAGGATAAAAATCAAAATCTTAGAATACTTCATTCGATTAATATAAAAAAGTTGAACCATTCAAAAATACTTAATAATCATAAATTATTGAAGTTCCTTTAATAAATAAATTTGAGAAATCAGATTAACAAGATTTATATAATTAAAAATAAAGATCAATTAATACATAAGAATTGCCATAACAATAAATAATAGGTTATTATACAAACCAAAAGACTTTAACCCAAAAGGAAAATAATGAAACTCATTAAAAGTCTCCTTCTAATAATAAAGCATAATTTTCAATAAAAGAAGAAAAATTAATCTAATCAAATTCAAACCAATAATAAAGTGAAATTTATTATTAATTTTAAAATAGCTAAGCAAATGAATCTTCAAATTTTGATTTTAGATAAAGATTTTAAAATCAAGATATTCAATAATTCTAAACACCTTAATAAAGTACACTTTTTAGAGAATAGGAAACAAATAATTTTTAAAATGGTATGAAATTGTCAACATAATCTGCCATATCAGGAATATATAATGAAAATAAATCTTAATAAGATATTTCATTTATTAGTTCTAAGTATAATATTTCAATATCATTAGATCATTACTTTCTCCTTAAATTAAAATAACCTAAAATTTACCAAATCCATTAAAAATTGAAAAAGAAGATACTTTAAAAGTTCATGATAAAAGTGTTAAGGATTTATGTTTTATGGATGATGATAAGATAATCACATGTTCAAAAGATTAAAGCATCAAAATTTGGGATAAGTATAGTTATGAATTTATTAGAAAGGAGAACTAAATAATTAAAAATGGAATTGAAAGATCACACAGATTAAATTTTATGCATTGCATTTTCATTAAAAAGGATAATAGTTAGTGGATCAGTTGATAAAACAATTAGAATATGGAAACCTTCCCCTTCTTGGAAGATTGCATTTGTTTGTTAAGGGCATTCAGAAAGAATAAGATGTGTAGAATTTGTAGGTAATTTAATTGCATCTGGATCAGATGACACAACTCTTAAATTATGGGATTTAGATGGTTAATTATAACATTCATTCAAAACTAATGGAAGAGTTAGTGCAATGGTAACAGATAAAAACCTTATTATTGTTGGATCTGGCAAAAACATACTTGTATTAGACATTAGAACTAAAAATAAATAATAGGATATAATAGGTCATAAAAATTTGATTTTGTGCTTATAATTAAGCAATTAAAATTAATAGAATAATTCAATTTTAATAAGTGGATCCAAAGATAATTCTATTAAAATATGGTCTTATCCTAAAATTTAAGAAATAAGAGCTTTATAAGATGATTATTCTATTCATTCTCTGTTTTTTGATCCAAATTCTTAATACTTATTTGTTGGATTAATGGGTTTCGAATAAGAAGGTAAAATTTCTATTTGGTAACTGGATAATCAACCAAAAAAAATATAAGAAATCATTTCAAATCCATATGGATGTAATAAAGTATTGTATGATGGGTTATATCTTTATAGTGCACATGAAAATAAAAGAATGGAAATTCATTCTATTAAAAAACTTTGATTATTTTTATATTATTCAATATCATATAAAATGCTAATTTAATCTATTTGGAGAGTATTAACTAATTCTAAAATGTACTTAAATAGAGAGTTTTATTAAACATATTAAAAATTAATTATTCTTTCTTAATAGATTGCAATATGTAATTATTAAAAATTATATTTTTTTAATAATTAATTTCTTGGTCATTAACAAAAATTATTATAAAAAATTTTAAATTAAAGGAAAAAATGAAATTCCTTTAATAAAGAGAATATAATCCAATTAAATTTAAACAATGATTTCAATTTTATTTTAATTTAACTTAAATTCTATATATAGATTGAATTTATTTTTATATAATTGTATGTAGAATTAATGTAAATCATAGAATCAACATTTTAATTTTGTTGCACTCAAAATAAATGATAATAGAAATTAACATAAAGAATTATACTTCTAGTATTTTTCTAAAATAAAATATAATGCTGATATTAATTCATTTTATTCATAAAAAGATGTAATTAGTTTTATTTTTAATTTTACAATATTCAACAAAAAATCATTTCTATAAATATGCTACGTAAATAATTAATATATTAATTGTAATTATATTTTGATAAATCTTTATATTATATTAAATAATATATGCTCTAGTTTTAAGATCCTTGATTATATTATTAAATATATAAACTAAATATATTCAAAGAGATAATAGTAATCATATTCTTAATTTAGGCAATGAATTAAATAAATTAAATGAATTTTCTTCAGTCCTATAATTATTGCTTATATCCATATCGACCACAATTATATTATAATACGTATGCAGAGAATATTCAAGAACAAAATCAAGCTGCTTCAACTTATAAACAAGAAGTAGTATAATGGTAAATTTGGTTTTAATATATTTATAGGTTGTTCTCATTAGAATATTCTGAATTGTATAAACTATTTCAGATAAAAGGATAAATAAAAACATTCCCAATAATTAAAATGTATATACATGATAAGCAATACCAACCTTCGAATTATGCACTTCTTCAATAGTTAATATTAATTAAATATTTTTAGAACTACAATTAAATTAGAGTCTAAAATTGATGATTAATTTATAATGAAGACACGAATCCTTCACAAAAAAACAGATGTACATTTTATTTTTAAAGAGTATAGGAATTGTATGATAAGTTAATAATTTTTGATGATGAAAGTTTTCTTGATACAATTATAGTAAATGAACCTTATTTAGAAAATTTAAATAGCTTTCTTGAATTATTAGATGAACTTTCTGATAAATATTTTCTCAGTACTTCTACAAAAACAAATTTTGAGAAAGCAGAAGATCCAGTTTGGTTTCATTAAAATAGTTTTCATAGTTGTTCAGCCTGGATAATAAAGGAATTCGAAAAAAATATTAATTTTTATTACAATACACAAAAAGACAAAAAGAAAAAATATCGTTTTTAAAATTAGTTAATGAATAAAAATAACTTAAAAGATATATAAGAATATTTTGAAAAAAATTTAGCTAATAATAAAGAGAAAGTAAAGACTTGATCAATTTTATTAGTTATACTGTTATTTTGAATAAATATAAGAAGATATTAAAGAACATCCATAAAACTTAGAAAATATTTTTTATAATAATATATTTTCAAGTACAACTATTAAATTAATAAAACCATAAATTGAATTGTCACTAAATTTTTTATAAAAATGTTACTCTAATCCTAACATCATTAAATCAATGTTAATTTCTTAGATGTCAGATTTATTAGATTAAAAAACATATTTCCTGAAGAAATTTTATTAAATTGTGGTTTAATTATTTTAAGAACATTTGGAGAATGAATTATTTAGTAGTGAAACATAAATTAAAAAGAAAAAAGATAAGAAAAAGCTTAAGAAAAAAAAGTCAGAAAAAACTGAATATAAGAAGTCTCTTGATCCTATTGAATTAAATCAACGTCTCTCAAGAAAAAATTTATAAGACTCAAATATAATAAGATTTTAAAGATCATATTCATAAAATAATTTTGCCTATTCTTATGTGACTCCACCAAATACACCTTCAGCTTAGGAAACTAGTGATGATTAAAAGTATAAATTATGATCTATATTTAAGTGAAATGAATTCTCAATGTTATTATTAATCTTAGAATCAAAAATAATATAAGAACTAAAGATAAAAGAAAGTTTTAGAAAATTAAAGTATTATTGATTTTGAATAAACAAATATATCTTAAGCATTTGTAGAAAATTCATAAAATCCTACTGATGACAATTTTATTGAATTTACTCAATCACTAACTTAAAATATTTTACAAATTGTATACTAATCTTTAATGGATGATTATTTATATAAAGAAGATGTTATAAGAGAGAAGAAAAAGAATAAGAAAAAATAAAAAACTGTTTGGAGAT